TTCGCATGCGTTTCGCAATGCTAGAAGGAGCAGAATGGTCGCCTGTTATATCAGACCTCCTCAGTACACAAGTACAATACAATACCCTGCATGCGTTGCAGCTCTGCTGCATCGGTTTCATCTCTGCTGCAGTGCTGCTGAAACTTGCATGCAACTTTGCTGCTGCTGCTGCAGAGTTGCATGCACTTTTATCTCATCAGATGATAGAGATATTCTTCTTCCTCTTCCTCTGTGCATGTGGATCGTGGTTGTGCTGCAGGACGAGGTGGTCAGCCGCGTGTTGCTGCCTTCAGGGCACCATGCTGCAGTTGAATTGGAGGTGCTGCATGATACTGCAGAGGTAATGCCTTTTCTTCCTTATGTCTCTCAGCAGCAGCTGCTTGCTGTCATCGCTGCACCCCGCGCCTTCATCGATCGCACTGGCCTGGGGGTACGCCCAGTGCAGGAGGGTCGTTTCTTTCCTGAGTTTGACGGCCAGTATCTCTTAGGCGATTCCACTGTGAGTATTATATTTATGTTTTCAATATAATATTTTTTTTTATTTTTTATTTATTTATTATATAAATATATATTTCAATACTTATGCATGTGTAGATGTGTAGTACCTTCATTTTCTGCTTCGTTTCTTTGCTGCGTTTCCTGCTGTTTCTCCGTTTATGTATGTGCTGCTTCTTCTCTTTTGTTGAGTTGCTGCTTTCTTTTATTCATCTGCCGCCACTTCTCCTTTTGTTCCTTTTCTGCTTCTGTTTCCTTTATACATTTTTTCTGGCTCGTCCCCTTCATTCATCTTCTGCTTTCCCCCCCTTTTATTCATTTGTTGCTACTGCTGCCACCTCTATTAGTATCACCACTACTACATCTACTACACAACACGCTACTACTAGTGCTGTATATTTGTTTAGCTTCTTTGGATTGTTTCTTTTATGCCGTTGCTCGACTTGAACTTGACCGTGTCAGACGTATTTTCTTACATGAATTAAAGCAATTAAAAACAGGAAAAACTAAAAAAACGTCGTTTTGCCTGCATCTTTCTGCACATCATCTGTACTTGTGCAACAACTGTTTGAACAGCTAGTGTTTTTTCTGTTGCTGCAATTGGCTGAAATGTCTTTTTTTTTTTTTTCTGTCTCCGTAGACCTCTGACGTTACGCTGCTGCTACCAAGACGAAGAGGTTCAGGGCAACCAGTGGAATGCCGTGTCAGTGTACCGGCTCTAGGGGGGTACAGCCACGCGGTGCTCGAAGCTGAAGACCGTTGTTACACTTTGCGCCTCAGGAGCGAGAAGATGGATCCTTCTGAGACAGCAGGTGGGCCCCACACCCACAAACACACACCAACTTGCATGCGTGCATGCATGTGTGCTTGCATGCATTCTTCCCTGCATCGCTGTACAACTCTCAGCAGATGCTCGCCGCGCACAACCGCCACATATTGCACGGTGACGACTACCTAAGCTTATTTGTGTTACTACATTTTGTACTTCCTTCTCTAGCTGAGTTTATACCCGTTTCTGTGAAGGTATAGTCAAGTAATAAGAACACAGGAAAGAAGAATGGGGAGAAGAAGAAAACTAATTTCAAAAGATTTTAAAAAGGCGTTGCCTAGTGTGCGTTGTTGTTCCTCAGGGGCTATATGTCGAGTTGTTTCGCTCGTGCCAGAGTTCATTTTAACAAATGCATTGAATACTCCTCTCTTCTTCCGGCAGTACGGCACCCCAGGCCCTGCCTTTGAAGGTACGGCGCAGCCTGCAGTGTATCGAC